CGTTAAACTGGTACACAATTAAAAAATATTTTATTTAGGCCTAAATAAAATGGTTTTTAATTGTGTACCAGTTTAACGTTGAATATTATTTATGATTTTAACTTTATACACAAGTGCCAAAATACTATAATTATGAAACTACATGTTTATCCTAAGTAACTTTAAACTTGTAACAGTATACATCTTTTTCTACTTAAATTTTATTGTTTTATTGCCCTTTGAACTTAGACTAACTGATATTCCTATCATACAATTTGTAAATCACTTGGTGAACATGGAGCTCATGTTACCCTATTGAATTATAATAATATAATGCACAAGTTACTTGTGAGCGTACCTTGTAAAACATTTGTATTATTATTCTTTGTTTTACTTAACCTGAAAAGTTTCTAATTATTACATTTTACTTTTTTTTATAATAATAAATAAAGAATCCACATGTAAAACAAGAAATAAGAGTACTTACCTGGGGTCTTCTTTTTGTTTGCTGTCAATTATCTGTCAATGACACTTAACCTTTCTTTTTTATACTAATTGTGCTATTGCACTAAATTTTTTATTCAACTAAATAATGCACCAAAAAGCATAGAATAATGACAAAAAAAAGTAGACAATGTCCCATAACTATAACAACTTTTCTGGCTTCCTAACTATGTGACAAGAGCTGTTAAAAATTGAGCTAAGCTCATCAATGTGTTTCCTGTGGGAATCAAGTTTGAACTAGAAGCGAAAAAGGTAATTTGTCATTTGATAGAATAAAATCCTGGCTTTCTATTGGTTATAAATAATGTAGTATTAAACATCAGAGAGAACTGTTGACAATTTATGAAAGAGAGGATGTGACGGGTGGACTTGACAAAAGGGGTCCGATTTTCTATTTTATGGTTCTGTAACTGAATATGATTGAAGTCTATAACAATTATACTTTTCCTGAGCGATGACAATTTTATAATGAGCAATTTACATTAAATTCCATACTTCTTGGAGGGATGGTAAATAAATTAAAGAGGGTATGGTATGTCTAGACAGAAAATGTCACAATTCTCATGGTAGGGAAAATTCAGGATTTTTTAATATTGCCATATAAAATTAAGAACTTAGAACTTATATACTATTAAAATTTGGATTATTAGCTCATTTTTATGCCAGATGTATTTGTATACCATGATAAAAAAGTAGTTTAATTAAATTTTATATGTAACTCACTAAAACCTCATGACATGCACAGAAAAAGATGCCGTAGTGAAAGCGTTAAACTGAATTTTACTTTATTACTTAATAGACTGTTAATCTTAACTCAATTTAATTTGTTAAAGCCCATTCTCAACAGTTAGGCCTCTATATATGAAGGATTAGGAGGTAATAATATAATCATTATTAGGTAGCAGAATGAAGTTATCAAATATTTCATATGATAAAGGATACATTTTACATTATGTACTAGATTTTTCATACATTATTTCTTCACAATTAAATAATAATAAATAATAAGCTATAATAATAGGTTTGTGAATGTGGTCTTTATACAGATAAAAATAATCTATACTTTGGGAAAATTATGGAAGTAAACATCAAAAATGATTTAAATTTGAATTCAATTAAAATTTAGTCAGGGCTATAATTATGAACTAAATCACTTTTTGGATTAAGTTTATTTATTGATTTCAAATAAAAAAATATGTCAATTTTATATTTTCAATAAATCTTTCACATATATAAATATAAAGTTTATTATACGTATAATTTCATAAAATGGAAAATAAACAATGGGCAAAAACAACATTATGATATTTTTTTCAAATTAAAACATTTTGAACAAAATATTTGCATGACAAAAACATCCTCCTTTGACTCAAACTTGATAAAACAAATGCATTAGCTATTAATTTTAATACAGCCTCAATCTTATGATGATTTCAAATTTAATTTGCTTATTCCCAGATAACGTTAACTTAAGGATAGCTATTCTTGGGAATAGTTTAAATACTTGGACTAATTTTTCTACAAAAATAGCCTGTATTGCAAATGTTTTAGTCTTAAAAACAAATTATACCTATTCTTATATCAATAAACATTTGAAACATGCTATATAGGGCTAGAAAAATAATTTGTTATATTTTATGGAAAGAAAGTTTTGTAAATGTACACATTTTGTAAAAATTTCCAAAACAAATGTAAAGGTAAATGTTATGTTTTACAAAATTATCAAAGTATATCTAATTACAAACTATGTACTTACATAGTTGTGCAGTTTTAAAAACTCGGCAGCTCTTTCTTCTGCTGCACCACCAATTTCTCCAATCATAATTACACCTAAAAAGTTTTAAAAAAAGGAGAAATCATGAAAAAAAACTGTTTTATATGGGGGGATAGAGCTATAGATTTGTACAGGGCTCATCATATGTCAAACTCAAATAGACATATCTAGCAACACCATGTATGTACATGTACATGGATACACATTTTAAACTCTCCTTTTTTAGCTTCAATACTTTTTGTTGTTATAGCAGTAATAGTGCATCAGAAAAATAGATGATACTTCTGAGAGGAAAAGGCATAAATAGCCATTTTAATCCACCTTTAGATGTTTAAATATATTCTTCAAATTTTTTTCTCTACACTAATGAATCAAATTTGTGTAGGTTCAAATATACCTTCAATCATTATGATTTCAGAGTTATTTAGGATAAGTTTAAAATATTTTACACTCATATAACTTTGATATTTTAACCCTTTCTGGACAGAAGGTGTGTCACTGATATACCTTCCTTATCGCAGTAGAAATGCTTAACCAAATTGCATGAAACTTACTACAAACTTAGTAAAGAGTATCTTGTTTTGGCTTAAAACAAATTCATAATTTAATTATCTATCAATTTTTTAAGTTTTGAAATTTCCAAAATTTTGTAATGAGACTATTTAGAAAAAACATTATAGATATTTCCTTTTATCTTAGAATTTCAATTTATTTTTACTGTTGATCAGAAAGTTCCATTTGATATATCCAGTTTCAACTTGATTGATATTTAACATATTTCCTTTGATACGTTATTGTGTTGATTTCTTTTCCAACTATAAATAGTAAAATATGTGACAAAAATTTATCAATGACCTATAACTTGAACTTTCAAAATGATATCAACCTCCACTCTTGTCAAGCTAAGTAACAGTATTTTCACCACCAATATTCTTTGTTGATATCAATTTATGTAATAAATAGTTTATTTTCAATAAATACTACATTCTTTTACCTATGTGCATTGTTTAAATATGATAAACTTAGCAATAATATTCAATAAATATGGATTTGAGTGTGGGAATATTTTGCGGTTGCCTACCATATTCACTAAATCTTACTAAGTTTATTTGATGTCTTGTCATAGAAAATTTCTGTAGCTTTCAGACAAGTATCTTAACATGTAAACATTTTAAGGAACAAAAACAGCACCTAAAGAAACTGTAAAAAAAAATTACAGATCTGTGGTTTGTTTCTAAGTCTTCTAAACTTCCCATTACATTTCCTTGTTCATCCCTGCAGGAACTCAATACATTGCTCCTCAAACCACTTTATTTATTCTACAATGATGTCAAAACTATATAATCTGCTCTAACCAATGGTATTTAAACTTTGCCTGTAGTTACTTTCAAAGCTGTGCTTCATTAGTAATTGTGACATCATAAAAAGATGTGAATGAAGCACAAAAACCACAAAAAGAAAAACCCCTTAAGAAATAAGACAAAGATAATCATATTCTCAACAGGTAATAGTTTCTTAGCAAGTATAAGCCTATGCTTTGAGATGGGGAGAAAAATAAAAAAAAAATTGTTAAGTGTTTTTATAGGCTAGGATTCTTGGGGTAGTGCAGAAATGAACGTTCAATATTTTTTCACTTTTCTTTGCAAATTATACTAAATAAATGTTACAAAATAGCAACATATCAACTGCAAAATATATTTGGTTTAAAAACTGTTGAAATAGTTATAATTATCATTCTTACTTAAATTGTAAAATCTGACATCCAGATGTGCACTTGACACATGAAAGGTGATGTGCAGTCCAGATAAGGTCAAGGATCTTGATTAATGTGAAAATCACCCCAATTTTGCTTTAAAATATCACTTATTTTAATAGATATAACAACTACCTTTCAGCCACATAATTTTCATAAGACACATTAAAATGCAAGTAATCTCAACAAAAATGATGACCACCATTTTTCTTTCCAACAACATTCTTTTCACCCTAACTCAGCACTGTGTGGTCATTTATATTACTGAGTGCATCTTCCATAAATCGTTACACCTTGTAACTGGAAAATGCATGGTAACCTGGAAATGTAAAAAAAGCTCACTTTCAACAATGTAAAAATATAAGTATAGCTTTGAATTCCTAGAAGGTCATGTTTAAACACATTATAATTGGTTTGGAAACAAAAAGGCACCACTTAAACCTGGTGAATCTAATGACACAACCACATCTTTCATACATGAAATTTAGATTTTTTTACAACTATATATAAAACTCAAAATCTCTCTGTTTGTCCATCATGTTCACTGTGCAGGTCACACTTTCCTCATATGAAGGTGTGCAAAACAATTTTCCATTGATATACACGTCTATCGTTTGCTACTGAACCGGTAATTTTATCGTTAACATATATATTATATTTAGAATATAGCATTATAGGCCTATTTAGTTGTAGATCATTAACTATAAATCTACTAATATATCATATATTTAACCTCACACACAAAAGAAATGTATGCAGAATTAGAATGTCGTGTGTGAAAAGCAAACAGTAGGCCTAGCCTATAAAATAAAATTCTGCTGCCTACCATAAAATAGACTACGTGGAAAGAGTAAGGTTTAAATTATAATACTTGTGTACAATGAGATTAAAGTCAAGTCGGCATAACTGGTAGAGCACTTGCATAAGGTATAAGATGGGTTGAACCTGGAAATTGTGTTATTTGTTTTATAGATAGGCCTATGTAGCTATAGATTATTAATTATGCATCATATATTTAACCACACACACAAAATATATGTATGCAGAATTAGAATGTTGTGTGTAAAAATCAAATAGTAGGCCTAGCCTATAAAATAAAATTATGCTGTCTACCATAAAATAGATCACGTGTTTTATAAAAGAAAAGAAAAATAAAGTTGAATATTTCTGTTGTAATGATGTCCACATTTGAAAATTTAAATATAAAGAATACATGTGAAGATATATTCGTAAACTAACTCAATTTGACTCCTAAAGCATCTAAGTAGATGGCATCTAGTTGGACAGTGCTCGATTTGCTCATATTCATGATAGAAACATTGTGGTTTATATTGTGAAATCACTACGCAAAAATTGTGTGTTTAAAAATACCAAGATGTGTAAAATGAGATTAAAGTCAAGTCAGTGAATGTATTTTATCCTTTTTTTTTCTCTGGGTGGCTCAATACCTGGAAGTGGATGTTTTTCTTTTTATACATTATAAAGTACAATATTGCATTTTGTTTGTAGTATATTTCCTATGGTATCATACAGAATACGGTATCACATTCATAAAAATATATTACATTTACATTAAAGCAAATTGAATATAATATTACATACATACTTACATTTAAAATTTTAATATTTGGGAAGGGATGGTGGGAGGAATAGAGCTAGGCTTATCCTGTTTGCCAGAACGGGTAGTCATACATGTGTAAGATAATCTAACTATTCTCCATAATGGCCTATTTATCCTTGCCAGTGGAGGAAAAACAAAAAACACTGTTCATAAGGAAGCCCTGATTTAAAACAGGTTCATAGTTTATTTTTAAAAATCAAATCTAAGGTGGTAGTTGTTTTTTTTATAAATTCACAAAATATTTATTACCCATCGAAATAAGAAATGAGGAAACAGAGAGATAGTACCTTTTTTTTTTGAAAACCTGGGCAATGCCAGGTAACACTGCTTGGTAAGGTAAGACATTAGTGAGCTGGAAATTTCATATTTTTTTAGAACAAAATACAGTTAGTTACTAAGCTCGATAAAATATATTGCAATTCTGTGGTATTGATATAGTAATTTATGATTTTTTTGGTTATTTCAAAATGTATGTATAAAACCTAAAAAACATTATTTCATTTCACATCCTCCACAGCAAGTAGCAAACAAGTACAAAGTTCATAACTAGAAAAGATAATTGTTTGTTATACTTCTTTATTTACTGTTCTGTGTTTTAAGAAAAATAAGTTTAAGAACTTTTTTGTAAATAGTAATAATGTATATACATGTATAATGTATCATAACTGAAATGTGACTGTATTTAACAAAATACTAGTCCACTAAAACACAGCCAAGATAGATCACTTTGTAAAGTCCATTTTTATATTTTTGGATACAGTAACATGAGTGCATGTGCACTGCATCATTGCAATTTCAGGTCAATATAATAAAATAATAAATAAATATATGCATATATATATATAGATGTATAATGTTATGAAATTTAAGCTATTTAGACTAAACATTTGTGTTTTGTGTTATAATTTGTAGTCATTCTAGAACAAAAAAAGCATAATCTATATTTATTTCCTAATTTTTATGGTGGTTATGAGGTCAGTCAAACTGACACAACCCATACATAGATACAGTAGTGAAAACACCACATAAAAAGTTTTTTCTAAAAAAAAAGTTTGATTATTATCTGGAGGTTATAAAGATTTTGCATGTGAAATTTGAAAATTTTCTGATACATAAAAATTCTTTTAATCATAAAATCAAAATTACTTTGATTGTTAGATAGTCACCAATCAAAAAGAAAAAGGCATGAGAAAAACATTACTTAAGAAACCCTAAAACTTAATAAAAAAATATATTTTCTGTATGAAAGCTTTGTAATATTTACTGATAATATGCAAAATTTCATGAAGATACAATTACTAATTTAAAAGTTATAGTATGAAAACTATAATAAGCACAAAATGTTATGAGGTCAGTCCCTGGGACAAAGCTCATGCTGAAAGAGTTAAGGTGAAATTTTCATAGATAATCAAAATGAGTACAGTGGGTAACCTATGACTATTCTTAATATTGTAGTGGTCTCAGATTGCCCACAAAGGCATTTTGCTGTTTCTCATTGGTGATCAACTTTGAAATATTGAGTATAAGCACATGTTGCTTTTTATATAATATCTTTTGCATAAAATTATTTATGTACAAGATCATAAAACAGAAAACTCATTTTATCAAAAAGTTTGAAAAAATTATAATTATAAAAACGTATGCTCAGTGCTGGATGCACTAAAGTGTATGACTGCAGGTTGCTCTGGTTTCTGTCATAAGACTTACTATAACACAAGATCGCAAGGCTAACTGGTGTTTGCTACAAATCATAATTTGTTACAAGTCATTCTTTAACATTTATTGTCACATAAATGCTATTATTGTCACATTTTGTCACATAAATGCTATTATTGTTACATTTTGTCACAATGTTTATATAATTTAATTTTATCACATTTGTCACATAAATGACGGTTTTGTCACATTTTCAAAATTGTTATTGTATCACAGAAGACCACCACCATAATAATGAAATTTAAAATTATTCCACTGAATAAAATTGAAATACAAATATATGATTTAAAAAGGTATGACCAATGTCTAGTAAACTTTTCTTCAATGTAAGACCTAAAATAGTTAAAACTTACTAACCTTTAGTACTAGGATCATCAAGAAATACTTCCAGACAGTCCATGAAATTTGTTCCATTGAAGGGATCACCTCCAATACCCACACACAAACTCTGACCTAACCCAACTTGTGTTGTCTGGTGGACAGCTTCATAGGTCAGCGTGCCTGAACGGGAAACAATTCCTATCTTCCCTTGCCTGTGGATGTGACCAGGCATTATGCCAATCTTACATTCATCAGGCTGTTAAAAAAAAGCAATATATTTTTTTAAAAATTTCAAGAAAATTTAGAATGCCATGTGCTTTCTAAACTGGACTTGCTCATTTTCACATACCAACTAAAACAAACATCCTGACAATATAGTTGTGATCCTAAAATACAATTTTTTTAGGCTTATTTTTTTCTTGTATTTTGCACATATATCTATTTATTTTTGTTTGCACACTAATCTTGAAATTTTCCTGCCTAACAGAAGCTGATGGAAGTCCTATTATTAGAAATGGACTGTGTATCAAATAAATGAAAACTAAAAACTTGTTCACAATTTAATAAAACATTACCTTAATAATACCAGGACAGTTAGGACCGACCAATCGAGTCTTTGTTTGCCTCAATAGTCGATGTTTCACAAAAACCATATCTTTCTGTGGGATACCTTCACTAATACAAACCACCAATGGCAATTCTGCATCTATGGCCTCAAGAATGGCTTTTGCAGCAAGGGATGCTGGCACATATATAACAGAAGCTACTGCTCCTGTTTCTTTGACAGCCTGCCAACATCAGAAAGATTAAAAATTAATAATTGAAATTATTAAAAATAAAAGATTAATAAACTGACATATTATCAAAACAATAGATTGAGAGTACTAAAACAATAAAGTGACTCTTACAAGGGTTTTATTGTTTCTTCTGGGCTGTGCATGGCTTCCACAAAAAAAGAAACAGACTAATTTGCATTTATAGAATTATTTACAAACCAGTTTTCTTCTATTTTTGATGTACATTTTAAATAATGAAAACATAAGACTGTAAAATTGCATCAACCTACCTATCTATAAGACACATATTTTTCATACCAGATTCATGTGTCTTTTGAAAGGTTCTTATCCAAAAACTAAGCTGAACCCTAATAAAAAACAAGATTCTGAAAAATTCAGATGTAGACACTTCAGTATATTTCAAGATAAGAGAAAATTTAGTTTCATAGGTTTGGTAGGTGATGTAGATTCAACTGGTCCTTATTTTGATGCAAGATATAGTAGTGGAAACTAAATTTATCCTAGAATCTGATGGCCATTTAACTTACAAAATGATAAGAACTTCATCAAAAACCTCAACACAATATGAAGTACAAGTGTAAACAACATCTGACAAAGAGTACCACTATCTTGTTTCTGACAAAGTTTATAGCTCAGTTCCCAATCAGAATGCATACTAGTGCTCAAAATTAGTGACAGTCAACTAAACTGAGGCTAGTTAATTTACCAATTTGAGTACTCCAATTTTCTAATGAAAATTTCAGTAAACTACATTTTCTGGTGTTCAGAAAATGATAGCCACATGCACTGCAGCCCAGGGATGATCATCACTATATTTTGGTGTTTAAATTTTTCCTATATCTCAGCACTGATAGTTCATAAAAAAATTAATTTAATCACCTATTAAAGGTTAGATGTCACCGTTTTCAACTATCAAAATCCTCCAATTGGTTGTTTAAGAAACTTAAGTAACACATTCAGCCTACTGATTTGGTAATGCTAATCTTTAGTATAAAATATTTTTTAAACATAGTAGACAATGTTATTTTGTAAAAATTAAAATAATGAGAAATAAATAGTAAGTATTATAAATTTTCTAGTTGTAGGATTCAACAGCATAACACCTTTCCAATTAACTAACCCCTTCAAGAAATTGATTATATTGTTGCAATAATGACTAACTTTTCGATACAGGCTAGCAGACTTCTAATTCTAACAGCCTAGCTAACTACCACAAAATAGATATTCCTAAAATTCAAGCCCTGTATACAAATAGTTCTATTAATGATGTATCTTTAAAAGTGATAGTTTCCTGATCACTATTACAGTAGTTAAAATCTTTCATAAGTTTATAAACACTACCATCAAATGTTAACATTTATCCGAAACTGAAAATGTATTTCCAATAATACTTACCTCCACTGACATTATAGGTATTTCTCGATCTCCAGGGTTTCCACTCTTTGCCCATCTAACCATTGAAAACGCTTGCTCCAGTCTTTTATACCCCACTTGAATGCTCTTGGCAAATTCTAATTTGCAAAATTTTCCACCAACTTCAATGCACCCTCTATTTAGTTACTGTAAATAAGCATCTCATACAGATAATGTAATCACTTTTTCAAGACATAAGCCAGCTTTTAGTGGAGAGGTAGGGCAGGAGAGTGTCAGCAGAGGCAAGTATTATTGGAAATACATTTTCAGTTTAGGAAAATGTTAACTTCCAAAATATACTTACCTCCACTGACACTATAGCTAGAATCCCACACTGAGGAGGTGGAGGGGCTGGGGCAGACATGAATCATACAGAAAGTGTCTGTATAGAACAGATATATACCAAGATAAAGATAATACAAGAGTGGAGGAACTGCACTACATCCAGAACAGGTATGCTCTTCACCTGGAACTCAGTTCCTATAGTAAAGGTGGAACATAATATGAGTAATTGTTAGTATATGCCAGCCCCAACCAGAAAGCCGAGGTTCCACAAATCGAGGTTGGAATTAAGGAGTCGTGGTACCTTTATCCAACATTGGTGGCTAGGGCTGTTGGACCACAATGTTATGTATATGTATATATACGTATAAATATTTTATTGGATCCCAACCCGTAGCCATAGAGTGATGTGTTTTGCACCACTGGAATCAAGACGAAAAATTAAGCAACACCGAAGTGGACTAACTTTCAACCAAAGGAATAGAACTCATCCGAACTGGAATAATGAGCATTCATTCTCTCTCTCCCCAACCAAGTGGGCAAGGAGTATTCTATTTGCCCCTGGAATTATGGAGAGGACAAGGAACCTGTGCTCAACCAAGGATCTAGGATGGGACCACTTTGCGTTCGGAATTATGAGGAGATAGTGGACCTCCTTCCATGAACAATATACGAAACCAACATTAAACAAAGAGAAGTGCCACACCCACACCCCCTTCCCCAACCAGATAGCTTCATGTCAAATCTGAACCATAAGTATAAGTAGGCTCCTGCAGAGGCTGGTGTCATCTAGGAAAAAAATCCATGGACCCAAGTAAAAGGGCCCCCAAATTCACCCTTTTCTCCAAGACTGGAGGACCACACTCGAAAACTCTGGAGGAAAAGCCTCTGTCCACCACCCCAGTAACTGGAAACTAGGGGTGGTAAGGACTCCCGAACTCTACAAGTAGAGTCTGGGGAGTTATATGCATTAGGGAATCCTGAGGAACAGTGCTCTGGAAACTGTGCAATAGGTGAACCAAGTTCCCTACATTTTTAAAAGCAAACCAATCCTGATTTATTCTACCTGAAGTTCGGCAGGGACGGGCTGGATCCCCTTTAGTTTTACTAATTATAGTCCATGAGTGGCATTCCATAATAATAACATAATACCATCTGGTGGGTGCCAAGATGGTCTTATGGAACACCCCATTTCAGCAGAGCCTGTTGCAACCTGAAGTAATTATATTGAAAGTGGTTGCTAGTGCAGAATTGAAAAGAAAAAACATACCTGCTTGGGCAACACTCGCTACAGAGTGGGATCCAGTGAAAAATAAAAGGACCCTGGAAATAAAAGAGTATATGATTGAGGAAAATACTCACCTCTGGTTTAAGGGCAACAGATGTGGTCAAAATAACTACAGTGGTAGTCAAAAACCCTCAGAAGAGGAAACTGCTAGATTATGTAAGTAATGAGACAGGAAAATATTAGTAGTCCACATACCAGCCTGCACAATGTCTTCCATAGGGCAATTCAACCAAGCGGCTAATGACATAGAGAAATGGCAAATCTGGTAAGATGTGACATGCAAAAGATTCCTCTCCTGTAACAAAAATTCATTATAGGTCATGTGAATCAACTTGCGAAGCCACCTCATTAGGGTAAAAGGAGATAAGTTACGGAAAAAGGAGGATCCCAAAAAAATGAACAATAAATTCATAATACCTCGAAATGAGTTAGTATAGGCCAAATAACAGTTGAGGGCCCTGACAGGACATAACAAACAATAATGATTGAAGTGGTCATAAAGGTGAGAAATGGCTGACAAATGGATTGGTGAAAAGATCTTTTCTCTTCCCTGGTTGCCAGTCTTGGAAAGAAAAGACCTATCGGGGTAAAGCAGGACAAATGTGGAATGATACAGAGTCCAAAGCACATGGATTGCAAACAACTCTGACTGATGACATCCACAAGCCAACAAAAACCAAAATTACAATTCAAGGGAAGGGTGGAACAAATAATACAAAACTAAAGGCTCAAAGGAAGGATGAGACAATGCATGTAAAACAACTGTAAAATCCCAATTAAGTAATTGAAAAGGTCATTTGGGCTGAAGAAAACAAAAGGATTTGAGTAGAGGTGATATTACTGGGGATTCAAAAATCTTTTGATATTTGGAATACTGAAAAATAATGAATAAGGATGCCTTATATAAAGCCACCATAGAAGTAGCAAACATCTGGGTGGAGAATGTCCGATTGAAGTTGTCTCAACAGAGACTGCCAAAGTGGAAGAGGTAGAGGTGGACATACCTCTACCTCTGCAGATACCGAAGAAGCGGAAACCACGTTTGAGATGGTCCATATGGTGCAACCAAGAGAACTCGACAGAGAGTAGAACAAACCAATGTCCGAACCTCGGGGCAAAAGTCGAATTGGGGGAAAGGCATACAGATGTAAACCTGTTTAGTCCTGACTGAACCCATCTACTGCCAATGCTTGAGAATGAGGTATCAGAGACCAAACAACTGCAGTTGAGAATTCCAATGTTTCGCAAAAGCATAGACGGTTGGAGACCCAAACTGAAAGTAAATCCAACAAAAAACCTCGTGATGTAGCATCCATTCCATCAAAAGAGTCCAGTTGGGTCAAGATAAATGATTTGCTAGTAAATTCATCACTCCTGGAACATGACAAGATAAAGGACTGATAGGTAGGGAATGAGCCCAGTAGAGAAGATTTAAGGTACAAAAACAAAGGTCTTGAGACTTGAGAATGTGTGCCTCCTTGACAAGAAATCTGAGGTACCACCATGGAATTGACAGAAAGTATCATGACAATTTTTCCCTTCAAGAGAGACAGACCTTGAACCATTGCCTGGTGTACTTCAAGGAGTTCGAGAATTTTGATATGGAGGGTAGACTCATCTTCCGTCCAAATACCTTGGAACTCCTCACCTAGAAGATAAGCTTCCCATCCCTGAAGAGATGCGTATGTGAACAGATGGATCTCAGGAATGAGATGGTGGAATGGGTACCCCAATAGTAGTGTTGTTCTGGTCCTACCACCATTTGCAATCTATGATGTTATTCCTGAGTCCTGAGACATGATGATCCAAAGAACTGGAATGCAGGATTCATTGGTCATGCAGCGACCATTGAGGGACTCGTATGAAGTCATCCCAAAGGAAAGATAGGCTCAAGTAATGCCTACATCCCCAAAAGAGAAAGAACCATCTGCGCAGTAGGAGAAGGAAACATAAATAAAAGTCTGATGGTGCTTTCCATGGCTTGAAGCTTGACAGGGGTTGCTTGAGT